GCCTCGCGGGCAGGGTGAGGCGGCGGGCTCCTTGGACCTCCCCGTGATCGGCGGGCGGAGGGCCCGGCCTGTGCTCGGGGCCCACTCGGGGCGGTGGCCAGCCTGTGCTCTGACCCGCCCGTGGACGCCGTCCCGGCGGCTGCATCCTCGGCCGGGTCGGGGGTGGACCGCGCTGCTCGCCCGCCGCCCCGCTTAAGGGAAAAATGTCCACTTTCAGGGAAACGCCGGACACTGCCTCGCGCCCTTGGAAAGCCGAGCCTTTGTGTCCCTGCGGGTTCTGCCCGGATTTCGGTGCGATGGAGCCCCAGGCGGGTCTCCGCGTCCTCCTGTGCCTGGCACTCTGCGGCCTGGGCGGCGCGCGCGGGGTCTGGAGCAGGTGAGCCGCCTGGAGCGGGGCCGGGGCGGGGCCTGCGGGGGCACGCAGGTGCCGGGAGACCCCAAACCCCTCACAGAGGTGGTGCACACGCGTTCCGTGCAGGTTCCGGCACGACTCTGAGGAGCCGTAGTGTTTCCTCTTTTAAAGTTTGTTGCTCTGGCCCTTCCTCCCCTCCCTCTGGTTCGCTCTTTTCATCCTTCCTGTTGCAGCTGACCAGTTAGGGATAAACTTGCTGTGCTGGAGAGGATTCTCATTTGCTTTTGTGGAGGAAGCCAAGATTTGAGTACCAGGTTTTAATTTTCTTCTCTTTTTTGGAGGACGATGATTGTGTTGATAGAAAGCTTTCATAACTTACTTCGTAGGTGTGGGAAAAGGTCAGTTTTCCTTTTGAATTAAGCACCATTGCTGTTTTATCATTTACTTTAAAGGATAACATTAAACTTCAGTTTTGCCAGAAAGTGTATTTTCTGAAAAAGAGCTGTATTAGTTAATTATCACCATCAAGTTAAGAGTCTCTCACTGGAGAGATAATGTGGTGTGCTGGTTGAGTGTGAACGGCTAGGTCAGATCCAGTGTGTGACCTAGGAGCTCTCCACCAAGGTCATCTGTAAAGTAGAGAGAGTAACAGAACCCATCCTGGCCAGTGGTAATCCATACATGTTAGCTGAAGATGTTAGGCTGCAGTATGTGGTGCCGCCAACCCCCTTTCTCCCATGATTCATGAGTCTGGTATAACTGGCGAGCCAGGCATGGTTTGGAGAACCCCAGGTTGATTCAGACCCCGAGGACCTCACGGGTCAGCAGGTGTTTTCCGAGACCCTCTTCCTCCTCAGAGTGGGCCTTTCTCCTCGTGGTGCTGTCAGCGTCTCCAGGGCTTTGGGAAGACGTTTTTCTTAAGCTCACAACACTCTTTTGCCTGGGTGGTCGGTGGACTTTGTGCTACAGACGCTCAGTCTTGATGGTTGCGTTGTAAACTGCATCCTGGGGTCCAGGCTTCCTGGCCTTCCAGGCTCAGATCCCACCAACTGAGATAAGGTTTTCCTACCCAGAAAAACATCTCCTAACGCTTCTCCCAGCTCATGCTTACGCTGCCTTTCGTCTCTTTTTTCTCTTATAAAGAGAGTGTGCTCATTAGTTCAGACTGAAAACAGGTTTCCAGTACTGTGAATTCTCTACTTACTCACCAGTGCTCAGTTATTTACAAAAGATGATGTGTAAGAACTTAATTCTGTTTGGCTTTTGAATCGTTTCTTCTGGAATTTAATTTATGTTACTTTCCTCTTGCTGCTGCTCTTTCCCGTCTATAAAGCGAGTGTTTTTGCAGGCCTCCCTTTCTGCCTCAGTCTCCGGCGTGCTGAACCCTGCACCTGGTTGGAGGTCTCCAGCTGAGAGTCCCCAGCATGAGCACTACTCCACAGTCCCTTATGGAACGTCTTAGGGCCGGGTGGGTTTCCCGGGGTACAGGCGGTTCGGGGCACGGGCCCTGTTCTAGACGTTCGAGCACCCTGAGAGCAGGCGTCACCCGTTCTGCAAGAACGAGTAGCTCCCCAGTGGAAGGGGTCCTGCCGTTAGCCTTGTGCACTTCAGATCATATTTTGTGGCCAAATGAACTACAGAAGCCTTTCTGTTTTCAGAAACTTGTGGGTTTCACAGATGCTCCTGTGGGTAACGGGTGTGTTTCTGAACCGCATGAACGTCCTGAGGAGAAGGGCACTTTCTGGCCGGTTCCCTTGCTCCAGGCCTTCCTGGGTACTCATCCAGAATTTCAGCCCCTCCCCACCTGGCAGCCCGTCCTCCTGCTCAGTTATACTCGTTACCGCTTCTTATCGCTGTAGGACACCGTGTGTTTTCTTAGTCACCACGGTGGAAGTCTTCCTCACTGGCACGTGAGCTGCAGGTGGTGGGACTCCCCCGCTGGGTCAGGGGAGCACCTCCCCATCACTTCAGCACCCCCATCCCCCAGCAGAGCCTGGAGACCCCCATCACCTCAGCACCCCCATCCTCCAGCAGAGCCTGGGGACCCCCATCACCTCAGCACCCCCATCCCCCAGCAGAGCCTGGCCTGTACTCAGTGTTTATTGCATGAATCATGGCGTGAATGGATGGATGAATTACTTTTTCTGTAACTTTTAAAAGTTCTTGAAAAATAAGTTTCTCGTCTTTCAACAGTGGCAACCAGGAGTGGAAGAAACTAATCATGGTTCACCACTGGCCCACGACAGTGTGCATGGTGAGTCCTGCCCGCGCAGCCCCTGGTCCCATGAAGCCCGTACAGAGGGGGCTGGGGTGCACGTGTCCTCCCTGAGCGTCTCCAGCTGCGGCCTCTCCCTGCCCAGCTCAGCTGCGCCGTCCCTCCGGAGACTGTCCTCCAGGAGGCTGTGTGAGTTCCCAGGGGCCGGGACACAGGACCACAGTCTGGCCAGCTCACACGTTTATTCTTGCATTTCCGGGGCTGGAAGTCTGAAACCAAGGTGTGGGCAGCTTCCTTCTGGAAGTTTTGAGGGAGAGTCTGTTCCACGCCTGTTCCTGGCTTCTGGTGTGGCCGGTCCCCCTTGGCTCGTGGACACAGTCTCCTCTGTCTGAGCATGATTGTCCCGTTTCAGGTCCTTCTGTTTCTTACAAGAACCCCAGAGTTTATGTTTAGGGCCCACCCTCATCCAGTCTGACCTCATCTTAACTTGATGGCGCCTGCAAAGGCCCTGTTCAGATAAAGCCACATTCTCGGGTGCCTGGGGTTAGGACTTCAGCACATCCTTTCGGGGACGCGGTTCCACCCACCACAGGCCTGGACTCGTCCCCTCCCTCGGTCGTGGCAAGTCTTATTAAAATGTCTCCGGGGAGTCTTCTTCATCCTCTTTGCTCTGCTCAGCACGGGCGCCTGCCCTCCCTCAGCTCGGCCTCCGCCGGGCTCGCCCCATGCCCTGTGTCCTTGCAGACTGTGTCACTGAGGCTCAAGAGAGAGGCAGCAGGAGGCCCCCGCCCCACCTGCCCTCTCCAGGCCCTGCCCGCCTCACCCACCTTGGGGGCAGTTGTAAATCCAATCCTGGTGTCCGCGGCACAATTCTGAAGCGTTTCACCACGTTGCTGAGCTATCTTTAATGTTACTGACAGTGTTTCTGGAATTTTGACTTGAAAATTCTTAATTTTGAGGCCCTTTTTTAAATTACTGCAAGATGGAGACATTTATAAATTGCAAAACAATCCCCACCGCAGTGTTAGCTACCACCTCCATCCCATCACGTAGTCCCCGTGTCTTCTCCGTGGCGAGAACAGCTGAGGTCACTCCCAGCAGCGTTCGGGTGCAGGATCCGGCCATAGCAGCGGCGGTCACCACCCTGTCCCTAGCCCCTCGGGCTTGTTGCTCTTGTACCTGGAGCCTGTGTCCTTGCAGCAGCGTCTCCCCGTCTCCCCCGCCCTCCGCCCCTGGCAGCCACCACGCTGCTCCCGCGGACACTCACTTCTAACAGGGCACCGCTTTCTATATCAGACTGCTCTGTGCTTAGTTCTCCATGCTTGACGACTTACTGTCTCTTTCTTCTGGTGCTGTGTCTGCTCTGGGGTAGCGGGCACAGTTGGACGGGAGTAGAGTGGAGTTTTCAAACTAATCAGTTTTCAGTTTATTTGAAACCCTAGCTCACTCCCAAGCAGCTGGAGCTGGGGGCCGCGGGTGCCCTGGGGAAGGATCTGTGTGTGGAGAGCTCACACCTTGGGTAATGCTGGAAGATCTGCCTTCAGGAAATGGGACAAAATATGGGGTGTCTCTGTGTGCTGACCAAGCACCCGTGGAAGTGCGTTAGAAACGAGATTTAAAGAAATCAATTGTTAGGGAAACATCATTGTTAGGGGGTTCCTGTCTCTCCAGGGAGGCCGTCACAGGGGTTCTGTTATTCCAGTCAAGGTGTCATCTTGGGGAGCAGGCCCGTCTCTGGGCTCCTTCCCCTGTGAGTGATATAAGCATCGCAGGTGCAGGGACAGGGTTCACGCCAGGGGCTGACAAACCTGTGCTGACCCTTGATCCCAGTTACCCCCAGAAAGACAGAGATCCCGGCTGAAAACCCATACTGGGGCCTGGCTTCGCTCCTTACAGCCTTGCACGGTGGGAAGCGGCCCCCTTGCTTGGACTGTGTTTTCCTTCGGGATGCAGGGCGTGCAGCTGGGGTGCAGGTGGGCTGACGTCTGCGACCTCTCCCTCCTGCTCCGGTCCTGCTCTTTGTCATCCGTCACTCCTGCCCCTCCTGCAGCCTCCTCACAGCAGACATTTCAGTCACCTGCCCTGCCCTAAGTGACAGGCCAGCTGGAAAAAGAAGCTGCCTCTCTGTAACACAAGGTGATGCACACGGGATGGCTTCCACGTGAGCAGGACCCTCCCTGCTCCTCGCCATAACCAGCGTCTTTTTTTGTTGTTGCTTTTTGTTTGTTTGGGGAGGTTAATTAGGTTTATTTACTTATTTATTCAAGTTAACGCAGGTACTGAGGATTAAACCCAGGACCTCATGCATGCTAAGCACACACTCTACCGCTGAGCTCCACTCTCCCCACAATGTCTGCTTTTTATTTGCTTTTCACTGCAGGGTCCACAGGCCCTGGTTTTCTCACCGCCTGAGAGCTGAGATGTATTTCTTTACAGTTATTTGTTTCAGAAAAACTCCACTTTAGCTAAACAATTTGTAGGTCCCTAAAAAGTGTTAGACTGAGATTTTTGTCTATGAGTTTGTCTTTAATGTTAAGGATATGCTCCTGTTCTCACCTTGGCATCTTTGTTGGCTGCAAGTTTTCAGTGCTTATTATTCTACTGTAGTGTTTGCAGCTGGTACCTGAACAAACTTGAGTGTAACAGGGTCCCATCTTGTTCTCATTTTTGATGGTATGATAAGAAAATTATTTGTGGGTAAGTATAAATGTACCCATCCAATGGACTTAATTTTCAGGAACATAAAAAGAGGAAAAATAGCTTTTTAATTCTGTTTTCTAAGTTGTTTGAAAGTTGTTCCACTCATTTCAAATAAAACATCGAGCCCCCATGTGGTCTCCTCATGAATGTATTGCCAGAATGCATTTATTGTAAGTCATCATGGATTTGATTTTGTGCTGGCCCTGTATGGAATCTCATTGATGTCTGTCAGAAGAAAGGAAGGCTGCTAAATATATTTAATAAACAGTGAACCAGTTGTCTCGTCTATGTCTTTTCTCCCCAGGAAGTTGGAAACAGCTGTAGTGCCCCCCCAGATTACTGGACGATACACGGATTGTGGTAAGTGCTTCATGCATTTAAAACGTAAAACAGCCAGAAGCTGGCTGACCTGAAACTCCAGCTTGAGTCTGCTCCTTACATTTATGCTTGTGGGTTTTGTTAGGAGCTTATTCAGTAACAGATCCTTAAAGATGTCGTCATCTTTCTATCATAGCCCTAATTCTGCGGTCATTTAGTACAGTAACAGTCTGGTTTAAATGTGCTTTTAGGGACTCTGGGTACTTTTTTTTATTTTTTGCTTTTTTTATTGAAGTATAGTCATTTTACAATGTTGTGTCAGTTTCTGGTGGACACCATCAGGTTTCAGTCACACATGTACATACATACATGCCTTTTTATATATTCATAAAGATACACATATATCTCCTTTTATAGTCTTCTTCATTATAGGTTACGACAAGGTATTGAATATAGTTCCCTGTGCTCTACAGTGGGACCTTGCTTATCTGTTTTATATAGAGTAGTTAGTATCTGCAAATCTTGAGTCTGTACATTTTAGATCACTAAATTTCAATATTCTCATTTTCTTCTTTTGGAGGCAATAAGTAAATGCATAGAAATAAAAGGGTGTATATGTCGTGTACATTATATGCATGTGTATTATACACACTTCACAAACACCCAAATTCTTTTTTTGGGGGGGTCTGCCTGCATTTATTTGGTTTGTTCTTTGTTATATGTGCGTATATTCATGATGCTAAACTCTATGGGTTAATTTGCCCCATTAGAGGGATCGCCAAGTCCCTCTCCGTGCAGGAGCGACGTCCTGGCTCTTGCTGGTTCCTGGGGAACAGGGGTCAGCAGAAAATAAATTAAACTGGGGCTCGAGGATCTGGCCTTGTGGGCGATCTGGACGCTGGTCTCTGGGGTCTCCGGCTTTCCAGGATTTTGTTCACTCCCTGGGCTGTCTTCTGGCCCCCGGGAGGGTGCACAGCCCTGCAGGGAGCCGTGCTGGTCCCGGGGTAGCTGAGGGGCTGGGCCGGCCTGTAGACCCTGGAGGCCGGAAAGGGATGTAGAAAGCAGGTTTGGTGCTGTCGTGAATTGAGCTGAAGACTGAGAGTTGCGTCCAGGGTTAGACAATGAGGACACGATTACCTGCAGCAACATCGAGGGAACTGGTCTCTGCTTGGTGTTAAAGAAAACTCATGCCAGCCGATCTCGAGTCGTTACCAGGCGCTCTCTGAGCACGATCCTTGTGTTGTCCCATTAATTAATCCATGTGTTGTACCATTAAGCTTGCTGTTCTCTCTGTGGTTGGGGAAAGATTTGCAAACGACAGCGCGGCTGGGAAGCCCCGCCAGGCCTGGCTCCAGAGCGCCCCCTGCCGGACTCTTTACTTCGCTTCTTCTGCAAGAACGTCCGCCGGGGTCTTTGTAACTCGACTTCCTGCTTTGAAAGAAACTGGAACTGTGGCCACTTGTACCGGAGCGTGACCCCCGTGGCGTGAGGGATTCCCATTACAATTCACCTGCCTCTTGTTCTCTGCAGATCTTAGTGCCAGCATCTTCTCATGCTGCGTGGAACCAGCCCAACCAAGACTAACGTTGTCTTTCCCATTTTAATTTCAAGGCCTGATAAAAGTGAAGAGTGTAACCGATCCTGGCACTTCAATCCAGAAGAGATCAAGGTATTCACTTGACTTATGTTACCTGCGCTGCAGAGTGCCCCACAAGAATGACTCTCCCTCCCAGACACCTTCACCAGGATTTACTGATACCTAAAGCAGTCCCACAGATGAAATACGATTTGTATTTAATTAAGTCCTCCTCTGCTGTGAGCCCAGAGCGCTGTGTGACTCTATGATTGGACAGCAGGTGTGAGTGAGCCGGCTCCGCCATGGCCCCGGCTCCGGTCCTGTCAGCGCTGTTCCCGGACCCCTGGCCGGCTGGGCCTGTCCTGAGGCGTGTGTCCACAGCCGTGGTCTGGGGAGATCCATGGCACCGGGCTGTCCAGACCGTGGGTGGGTAGGTTTCTCCATGGGGCCCGTGAGCGGGGAGGATGAAGGCTTGTATCTCAGAGTAACTCGTGGTTACGAGTGTTGGTAGCAGAAGTTCTCTTTTGAGACACTCCTTCCTCATCCACACACACACACAGGTGTGTTCACCTCTCCACGGGGTGCTGACCACCCCAGGTATGTGATTAGTCGCCTATCAGGGTAACTAGTACCAGGATTTACGGGGCAGGGTCTTCAATATTGTTGGGGCCTCCCTGAAAATATGGGGTATAGTTAGGGTTTGTTGCTAGAATTATGGGCCCCCAAAAGGACAAGGTAATTAGTTTCAGACCCATCACAGGTTCTCGTCCAAATGGAATTATTTCTCCTTTTCCTTTCTGGGAGGGCCTGCAGTGGTGTGAGCAGGAGGCCTGAGAGGCCAAGAGCCGTCTCTGAGAATTATTAGTGTGCCCCAAAGCCTGGTGATGTCTCCTTCAGGCTCAGACACTTGTCTCTTCCCAGACTCACGTCAACTCCCCCTGACGTTCCTGATTAGAATCTTGTGATCCAACAGTGGACTTGGAGGTTCATTTGCTCAAACGATGTACTGGGGCCAGCAGTCTGTCAGGCCCTGTGCCAGGGGCTGGAGACACAGGGAGCAGAACCAGAAGTGGTCTCTGGCCCTCTGGGGCCCAGGTGCCGATGAAGTCATCACACGCAGTCCAGAATGACCATCTGGGTGCCTGGAGGGAAAAGTAGTCACTCCAAGCTTAGGACGGTGGACCTAGGTGGGAGGAGGTGATAATGAGCTGGAATCTGACTGAACCAGAAGGAAGAGGAGGGCTGAGGAGGTGGCAGCAGCATATTCAAAGGCCCTGGGGTAGTACAGAGCTTCTGAAAAACTGGGAGGAAGCTAGTGTGTCTGGGGGTGAGCAGGGAGCCTGGCTGGTGTCCAGGGCCAGACCACACGGAGCCTTGTGTGCTGGTTAAGAGTTGTCTCCGTGAGTCGGAAGTCATTGGAAGCATTCAAGCTGGCGAGTGAAATAACCCAGTGAGGCTCTTCTGTTGGTTGCCCCAGCTGCGTGTCAGTGGTGAGAGCTGGGGGGGGAGACAAGCGAGGGGGCTCCCGCAGGCCCTTCAGGAGGTTAGGAGCTTGAATAGACGGAGGCTGGGGGAATGGAGAGGGGGAGGGGGCATCCCAGAAACAGGGTGCATGGGCTCCGGATGGCCGAGAGAGGGCGCATCAGGCCGGACCGACACTGGGCCTGGCTTGTTTGGCTAGCTGGGCGTCAGCCGCCTTCCCTGGCAGGGGACTCTGGCAGGGGACCAGACCTTGGCAGGTGTGAGATCGTGGGTCAGCGGTGGACACGAGCAGTTTGAAGTGCCCGGAAATGTCCAGGAGGGCTCAGTGTCAGAGAGGCTGAGCCAGTATGAATACTTCATGACTCACTGAAGTTTGTAGGTGACTGTAGGTTCACTCTTGGTGTTTGTAGTTTCTGTGTCACCACTGTAGCATCACAGTGGTTTCACTGCCCTGAAAACCCTCTGTGCTCCACCTACTCGTCCACTCACGCACCCACCCGACCCCTGGCAACCACTGCCCTTTTTACTGTCTCCGTGGTTTTGCCTTTCCCAGAATGTCATGGAGTTGGGATCACACAGTGTGTAGTCTTCAGATTGGCTCTCACTTAGTCACATGCATTTAAGGTTCCTCCATAGCTTTTCATGGTTTGATCGCTCATTTTTCAGTGCTGAATAATATTTCATTGTCTGGATGGACACAGTTTGTTTATCCATTCACCTCTGAGAGCTCATATTTTCATACTTTTATGTTACTCAAATTTCCTCTTTTTTTAAAAATTGAATTATAGTCGATTTACATTGTTGTGTTAATTTCTGGTGTACAGCATGGTGATTCAGTTACACATACATGTATGTTTTTCTTTTTCATATTCTTTTTCATTATAGGCTATTACAAGGTATTGAATTTTGTTCCCTGTGCTGCACAATAGGACCTTGTTCAACTTTTTTTCTTCCTTTTTTTTAGTTTTTTTGGGGGTTGATAATTAGGTTTATTTATGTAATTGTTTATTTAATGGAGGCGCTGGGGATTGAACCCAGGACCTTGTGTATGCTGAGCACACGCTCTACCACTTGAGCTACACCCTCCCCCATCTTGTTCAAATTTCACTTCTTGGTGTGATTTAAGAAACGCTTCACACAAAATAAGCACAGAATTGCCTTACTCAGTCCAGTGTTGTTAATTCACAGAGCTCCGTTCTTTTAACGTGGTAGTTTATCAGATTTGCCTTCTAGGTTTTGAGCTGTTGGGCCTTGCATAGACTCGCTGTTTCTGTTACTGTTACGCGCAGGACCTACTGCCGGACATGAAGATGTACTGGCCGGACCTGCTGCACTCGTCCCCTAACCGCAGCCTCCACTTCTGGTGAGTGACGCGCCGGGGGGATGGCTTCGTGGCCACGGTCTGGCTGGAGCTGCGGGCAGCACAGGGGACGGGAAACAGCCATAGAACATGGCTCCGGAGCCTGAGGACTGGGAACCCCCTCTCATCGGGGGTGCCGGCACGGGGGCCTTTCTCCAATGGATCAAAAATTAGGGCAGGTAGAATTTACTTTGTCAGCTTGGTTTTTAGTTAGTTACATCATTCATTGCTTGATTTTAAAAGCTTCCTCTACGGAGGTTTAACTTGCATATCTGAAAAGCTGTCACTCTAAGTTAGACAGGAGAGGATGTTTCTTAAAGAAATTGTGCTGTTGTCCTGCAGTAGATCAAGGAAAAAGAAGACGTACTTAATGAGACAATAACCTCATTCCTGCGACTTGGGGTGGAGGGAAAGTGAGGTCTTCACTGCAGGCTGAGGCAGGCTGTCCCAGTGAAACCTCTTTGGTTTAGCTGAGCCTAGAGGAAAGGTGCTGTGTTTAATAGCCTTTTCAATCATTGCTTTTGAAGAAGATAGAATTAACATTCCTTTTATTTGCATTATATTAACTGAAGATAATTCTTCATTTTCTCCCTAATTTTAATAAGGTGATTTATAATTCACTTCACCACAAATCAGGTTTTGTCCAAAATGATTAACTGCGAAATATTTTTGTGTAGAATTTTCAGGAAGGCTTATATTTGGAAAAAAGCTTTTTGGAACAAAGCGGCACGCCAGTGACGTCTGTCCACCTGGTTCCCTGGGGTGGGGTCTGCAAGTCCCCTGAGGGCGTGTGGCGGGGAAGTGGTTCCGGAGTCCGGGCAGGGGGCGGGGCTGGGGGCTGCTGTCACGCCTTCAGGAGAAGCGACAAAAGCCCCGTGCAAGTCGGGCCTCAGGGCTGCTCCGTGCAGCCTGTGTTCTAGAAGATGGTTTCAAAACAGAGGATGGCCTTACTGAGTTGAAATAGCGGAAAACAGTGGAAACACTTAGATAGCAACTCACAGTACACGTCAAAACAATGAGGCTTTGGCAACTCAGTAAAGAACACAGGGTATCTCCAGTTGTTACAACGTTCTGTGATAGCCAGTCGGATTTTTGCCAAATGACTTAAAAATGCATCACCAGTGAACACAGTGAAGGCCTCTCCTGTCGTGGGGGGAGGTTTCCGTCAGAAACTGCTCTTTAATCTCGAATGAGAATCTAGTGTGCAGAGCAGAGGGTCGTGGTGTTACTTGGTGCTGGAGATAATTCCCTGGCATTGACTCCATTAACAATACTGGCCACGTTGAAAAATGCTCTGCACACAGCCCCCTGCAAAGTAGGATTTTTGTTGGTTTTTTGATTGTTATACGAAAAAGAACGAGCGTTTGCTCACTCCCAGCTGGCGATGCAGCCTCGCCGTGGAGGATGTCCCTGGGGAATCAGTCGCTGCCTTTTGTCCCCAAGACGGGCCAGACCAGGGGGCAGAGGTGACGTGACATCAGCTCCTGTGCCCTTCTGGGGGAGTGAGAGGGTGGCACCATGTCCCTTCTGATTGGGAGCTGACAGTTCTGTGTTAAATGAAGAGTGTCCAATTCCAAATGGTGTGTGGTTAAAGGTTCTGAGCGACACTCACATCAGGACTTCAGCATTATCTTACCCCTACCATCTTTTGAGTTAAACTTGCTTGGGAATAATCATTGTTCACATTTAATAAGTATTTTTAGGACCTAAAACTGTTTTGGCTTGTGTGAAAGTGCGTTTCGTGACTCCCCCAGCACCCCCGGAGAAGGTCCTAGAATTACTGTTCCTGTTTTACAGAAACTAAGGCACCCGTAACTCAGGTTATATATTCAATTAGTTGGAAAGAGTCTTCTTTCTGTACTTAATGGAATTTGGAAAGTTACCCAGTAAGTCACCCTGGAAACTAGATGAAGAAGTTAGTTGTTCATCGTCTCTTTCCCTGTGGTTTTCTTGGGTCTGAGAGACTTGTAACTTGCAGCCACTCAGAACTGCACCCTGGGTGAAGCTGGCCGAAGAATTAGGGCACATTTAGACTGTGTTTCTGTGAGACTGCCTGGGGGTGCCTTTTGAATGCCTGCCTGAACGTTACTTACTGAATCCTGATGAGTTACCGACCAAGCTGAGAAACGACGAAGCTGAGAAAGGCTGGTGCCATTTCATGTCCGCGCTAACCGTGGCTGACATCTGGACTGACAGGTTGTCGGTCATCCTAAAGGTGGTTTAGCAGGTGAGGGATGACAGCACAGGACAGTGGGAAGGGCCCAGCGCGGGCTCTGGTGCCGGTCGGGGCTGCCTGGCCCGGTGGCAGGGAGGCTGGTTCCTAGCCAGACCCTCTGAGTCCCCGATTCCCCGTTTCTAAACCAGCGGTAATATTTTCACCTTGCAGAGTGGTGAGAACCAAACGAAGAATGTGAAACCGTTTTGTAAAACTTTAACCTTCAATAAGATGTGAGGAATTATCAAGAGCATTGTTCTTCTTAAATACAAATTGCTGCGTGTTTGCGGACATTTGGCTGTGCTGTTAGTTTAATGCGGTCATCTGTAGACGGAGGTCTACACTGTGATCGTGAGCTAGGGGAAGCTCAGGCCATCTTGCTAATTAGCGGGTCTGCCTTTTCTTTGCCGGTTGCTCGGAAGTGGCAGTCTGGGCGCCGCTGTGGCCGTCCCCAGCCGTGCAGCCCGGGCTTTGCGGGGCAACACCCCGCCCTGTGAATTTGTGGCGCTCGATCAATGGCGTTTTCCTTCTTCTCAGCTGGATTTGTTGTTGGTCAGATCGGAACTGGCTGGCAGAGGAGATCCTGGAGAGAGGCCGAAGGGTGCCCTGGGAGATGGTGTCCTCTGTGGGGCGTTGAGGCGGGAATTCTGGCCCTCCCGCTCGGGGGGAGCAGCCGCCTCGGCGCGTGGCGCCCTGCACTCGGAGCCCGTGCAGACGCGCTCCGTGGAGGCGGTGCCTTTACTTTGTAGTAACGTAAACATCCGCGCAGGAGGCACGAGTGGGAGAAGCACGGGACGTGCGCAGCCCAGCTGGACGCCCTCAACTCCCAGAAGAAGTACTTCGGCAAGAGTCTGGGTCTGTACAAGGATCTCGCCCTGAACAGGTAGGTGACGGTGCGGCCGCCCCTCGCAGGCAGTTCCTGAGCTGCGGCTTCGCCGTCCGCTCCCCGCCCCCTGGGGTCCCCCATCCCCGGGGTTGGGGGAGCAGCCCTGCCTCGTGTCCCGTGGACCCGGCCAGCGGGATCACCCCGAGAGATGCTTGTGCGTCCCACTCAGCCTTCCCGGGTCAGTGGGGGCTCCGACCACGCAGCGCGGACGGAGACTCGGGGACTCGGCAGATGCCGCGTTGTCAGCCTAAGGGATGCAAGACTGACCCGGGCGCGCCCCTTCCAGCCGCGCTTTCCGACGGAAGCACGTTGCGTTAGTGAGAACTGTACGTCCAGAACCTTTGGGTCTTTGCTCTGGTGTCCCTGGAACAGGCAGGAAGGGCGCTGGGCGAAGTTCTTAAATCGCTAGAAATTGCCTGGGCCCACGCGTGCCTGCCCCAGACCTCCGCTCCGGAGAGGCTCCTGCGCCTCCCGACTCATGAAACCCCCATGACAGCCCCGCTGGGAGCAGGCGGGCCGCCGAGGAGCCGGGCGAGGCCGGCCCTCCACGTGCGTGAGCATTTCCTCCCGTCCTTCATCGAAGTGGTCACCATAAACCACAAACCTGTGTTAAAAACCACGATGGTAGATGATACAGCTTGCTGAGGCTAGAGCTCCAGCAAGAACCTTTGCAGAAGGGTCCTGTTTCAGCTGAGTCGCGTCTCAGAGATAAAGACACCTTTCCTGGTTCTCTGCATGCGCTCCCCTCCCCACGCCAGGTGTCGAAGGCTCCACAGGGCTGTGTCCCCTTTACTGTGATCAGAAGCACGTGACAGCTGGGATTGGCAGGAGGCGGATCGCAGGCCATGGCAGGAGGGCAGGCACCTCTGGGGAGGCCGGGATTCCACAAAGAACCTCCGTCCAGCAGCCTCTCAGATCCCCAGCCCCCAGGGCTCCTGCTTGGACTCCAGCCTTTGATCCTGCTCTGAAACAGGAACCAGTTGTGCAGTTTGCACCATTTCTCCCTCCTGGGGTCTTACTTCTGCTGTGAGACGCTGGGTGGGCCGCCCTCAGAGTGGGAAATCTCTTCTCCTCTGAGGCCTGCAGGCCTGGCACCCACGCTAAGGACGTTTTACATAAATGGCAGCATTGTACGCATCCTGGGAGGCGAGAAGATCTGTAGGCTTTTCCTGCTGGAAGCACCCAGAGGTGTAGGTAATACCAGCTTCAGAAGTCATGGAGAGAAGTAGCGAGGGGTGTGTCGTGCAACGCCCGGCAGGGGGGCCCCAGAAGACAAAGCAGGGGTGGCAGTGGCCCCTACGCACGCACAAGGCTCTGCAGGGAAAGACGGTGCCCTCTGTTTCCCAGCACTGACCTCATGGTCCTGATGCAGGAGGGTGTGAGTTCCCGCTGAGTCTGCAGCCCAGGTTTTACTGAATCAAACTGGAAAAGAAGAGTGAATGGATATGCTGAAAGTTTTAAAAGACAGTATCTGAGTAATTCATCCCTTAATGCACCAACTATTTATTAAGCCCCCCTGTTTACACCTTGTGATTCTCAGTGGCTTTGCACACATGCACACACCGTGCACAGCTGCTAAGTCACCGGAGCAGCAGGAAGGCCCAGTGCCCTCGGCCTGGCCGTGGGGGGCGCCGCCCCGCGTCCTGGGGGGTGGGCCTGTTCGCCGAGGGCTGGCTGAGCGGGAAATGCTGCTGGGAGCGGCGTGTCTGCTAACGCCTGGATGGACCATCAGAGAGAAGGCCTGTGCTCGCCCCGCTTCCCCAAGGAAGGTCTAAAGTCTTAGGACTCACAAAATTAAAATTAGGTCCAAACTTAAAATCTCTTACATGTTTCTCTATATTATAAACCATTACAACAGACTGTCCTTTTCTCAGAGGTAAGCCTGCCAACTTAGCACAGACGAGCAGTTTTTCACTCACTTTGTAATATGAAGGACGCAAACCTGAAAAAAATGCAAAATACCTCGAACCTAAGTTCTCAGATTTCCTGCAGATGTGGGCCGGAGGATTAATGCCAAGCTCATCTTAACTCAAAACGTTACAGACTCTGTTCTGAGCTAAACCAAGCTTCCCCAAACGCTTCTCTTTTTACCGTATTTCCTTGACGCCCTAACCCAGGAGGGCCCTAAAACAGCGCTGCCCACAAGGAATAGAACTCATGTAATTTAAAATTTTCTAGCAGCCTCATTAAAAAGAGCAAAAAGGAATAGAAATTTTGTAATGCATTTTGTTTAACCTAATACAGCCAAAATATTATCACTGCAACTTGTAATAAATATTTAAAAAACAGAAATTTTGCATTTCTGGGGCATAAAGTGTTTGAAATCTGGCCTGTGCCCTGCACGGTCAGCCCAAGGATGGGCCATGGGCACGTTTCTTCAAGGACCTTGCCCGCCACCTCTCCTCGCCTTGTTCCGGGAGCTCTGTATCTGAGATCCAAAGATTACCTACCCGCAGCCTTTAGAGAAAGTGTCTCGTTAATGCTTGTATCAGAAACCAGGGCTGTAGGAGGCAGACCCGCCGTCTGATGGTGCTGGTGTCCGGAGAGGCAGCCTGAGTCCCTGCCTCTGCTCCGTGTGGTCATGACCAGGAGAACCCAGAGAGACACGAAGGGGCTGCAGCATATTATTTTAGAATTATTAATCTTTCAATGTTGAACTTTAACGAGAACTTTTTAGCGTTGCACTCCATAATTTAGTAAGTTAACCTCATCATGCTTTGGTGAGCTGGTTAAAACCCTGTGCTTTAGGAAATGATTCAGGGCTGGGGGTACTGCAGGGATTTAAAGATCTGACCCAGTGTGGTTTTTTTAGGCTAAGCTTGGAACCCAGAATCAGTTGCTTATATCTTTCAGAATGGTCGTGGCCATGGGTGGTGACGTGGTGCCCACCGCCCTTGGCAGTGACCGTCGGACGGCAGGAGAGTTTCCGGTGCTAGGAAGGGGTTCGGGTCAGAGGGGCGCGCCAAGGGGAGGGGAGGTCGGGGCAGCCCAAGCACCATGTGTTTGCTGCTCTTGCCAACAGACGTACTGCCCAAGGTAGGAGGAAACACATGCTTTCCTTCAAGAATGTCTTACTTTTTACTATGAAAGATGGTAAGAACAAGAGAGAAAAATGGACATTCATGATACAGCTATTTTTTTCCTTTAAATTTTAGCATACTCCAAAAACTGGGGATAAAGCCATCTAACAGTTCTTACCAGGTAAGCCTTGCTTTCAGCTCCTTGTCCTGTGTCTGCTGACTGGGGACACCCAGCGATGTTCAGGTGTCACTTCAGCCTGTGAGCTACACGTGGGTTTAAAGCAACCCAGACCAGGCCCCCTCCCACTTGAATGTTATGTTCGTAGAAGATTTTATGTGAATTTTGTTTTCCTGTACATACTGAGTGTAAACGGGAGGCAACTTAAACTGATGATTTTGAAGCAGATTGATGGCTCCTCGGTGAGAAGTGTGTTCCAGGTCCTGATGGTGGGATGTGCAGTTGGAAAGCACATTCAGTTTTATAACAGTTTGGGGAAGAAACAAATTCTGTCTGAATTTGTTTTTTTATTGAAGTATAGTCAGTTTACAATGTTGTGTCAATTTCTGGGGTACAGCATAATGCTTCAGTCATACATGAACATACATGTATTCATTTTCATATTTGTTTTTGTGACTGTGACTTATTTCATAAAGCTAGACACTTTTGCGTGCGGGCCCTGCTGGCCGGCAGCCTGCAGTGAAGGGCGCTGTCTGCGCCTGGGCAGCCCGTTGTGAGCACGGTTGCTCAATACCCCTGGTATTGGTGGCCGTCCGACGGCGGGCCTGCAGCCTCTGCTCTCTGGCCCTTTACAGAGTGAGTTTGCTGGCCCTCGCTTTACAGAACCATCTCAGGTTCTTGGGGATAGTTTTTATATTCATCATAGGTGTGGATTTAGAAAAGGCTGCAAGTCACTGATTTTAGCAATTCTGAGGTTCTGGTGTCACGGCTGGAGATGGAGCCGTTATTCTGGCTTCTTGACAGTTTGAGAAGTGGGTCAGCCCTTGGTCTCGCTCTGGGGACCTGCTGTCGCCCCCTCCATGGAGAGGAGGGGTGGAAGGAGCAGTGCCCTTGGGAGAGGGTCCCAGCTGCCCTCTGTCCATCCCTCCATGAGGGAGTGTGTTGCACCGCTCCTTCTCCCTCTTCTGGACTCATGTTTAAGTAGGTGAGAGGAGAGTGTTTTACAGTCTTGCCCGGAGCTTGAGGTTCAAAGAACAGATTTCAGTTACAATAAAAGCAACCAGTCAAGCACGTGTTTTCTTAGCTCCTTCTCCGTGCTGGGGGCACTGGGTTGGGGGTCGGAAGTAGCGTGACGTGTGACATGTGACTCAGGCAGAGGTTCTGGCCTCGGAAAGCTGGTGGGGTCTCCCAGCAGGAGAGCTCTTACTTTTGCACCTGGGACCTGGGAGAGGGGAACCGAGACCACGGAGAGCAACTCATGTGGATGCCGGTCTGGAGGACGGAGCCCAAGGGACACATCCCCTCCTTCCTCTGGGGCAGGGGTCGGGGTCCCTTCTCCAGCATCTTCAAATTCTGTCTGCGAGCCAGTGGAGAGCTCAGGGTGGGGGTGGGGAGACGACGGGGCTGTCGCTAGATGCATTTGCAAGAATAAACCGGAGCTGAGTGTCACTTGAGTCGAGCAGCGCTGTTCATTTTCTCTGTTGAAGTCTCGTCTCTGACGCACTTTACCTCATTGCAGATCTCAGATATTAAAGATGCCCTTGTCAGCGCGTACGGAGTCGCTCCTAAAGTCCAGTGTCTTCCGCCAAAATCGGTCAGATGTGTGATATTCTGTCTTGATTCTATCAAGAAGACAGGTTCAATTTCCCGGGGAGTTTGCTCTTACTGCGGGGCAGAGCTGCGGGGATGGGGGGCTCGTGTGCACCTGTGTGTGTGTGTGTGCCTGTGTGTGCGCGCCTGTGTGTGTGCACCTGTGTGTGTGTGTGTGTGTGTGTGCCTGTGTGTGTGTGCCTGTGTGCTTGTGTGTGTGCCTGTGTGTGTGTGCCTGTGCGTGTGTGTGCCTGTGTGTGCACCGCCTGTGTGTGCGCCGCCTGTGTGTGTGCCACCTGTGTGTGTGTGCACCTGTGTGCGTGCCTGTGTGTGCCTGTGTGTGTGCACCTGTGTGTGTGTGCCTGTGTGTGTGTGTGCCTGTGTGTGTGTGTGCCTGTGTGCGTGCCTGTGTGTGTGCCTGTGTGTGTGCCTGTGTGCGTGTGTGTGCGCCGCCTGTGTGTGTGTGCACCTGTGTGTGTGTGTGTGCCTGTGTGTGTGTGTGCCTGTGTGTGTGTGCACCTGTGTGTGTGCACCTGTGTGTGTGTGGGGGGGTGTTTTGAAATAACAGATTGTTTTTGACACTGTGCTGGGATTCGGCTTGTTTCTGGCGGTTTCTCAGCGAGAAGACCCCTTCTGGAGGGCGGTGCAGGGGGGCCCAGCAGGCGTGGTCACCTGTGCGGTGTGTAGATGAGTTGTGGTTTCTTTCGTAGGCTGATCAAGGTGTCAGTCTTTTTAGCACTAGGGTGCTGTTTACCTGTTTATCTACAAAAAGCCATCTCTTCTCCCCGCATTGTGACACACACGTCTTTCCTTGTAGGGCGAGGAGCTGCAGACCCTCGGGCAGATCGAGCTGTGCTTCACTAAGGACCTGCAGCTGCGAAACTGCACGGACCCGGGGGAGCCGGCGCCCCACAGGCGGGCACCCTGGCCAGCCCGGGCGGCCGCCACCAGCCTGGGGCTGGAGGTGTGTGAGGACGGCCCCGCCTTCTACCCCCCGCCCAAGAGACCAACTACTGGTGCCTAACTTCTGGAAACAGTCTGTGCTTTGAAAAGCAAGAGGAATTGACAAAAGCATTTTAAAAAGCATCTCCAGAGTGAAACTTCTTGGGACAACCTTCATTAACCTCAGCCTGTTTTGTTCATTTTGCTTTTCACTTGGTGTCTGCCAGTTGATTTTTCTGGTTCATGTAAAGACGGGTGAACGTTGGGGACACTGAGGGGTCGGAAAGCACCCCACCTGGTGCTGAGATTAGGGTAAAGCTTGTTTTCTGTGTTTTTCCTTTATTAGACTCTGGCATCCTTGGAAGACAAGTCAGGCAGCCTTGGAGTCTGGGCAGAGGGTGGAGGGACCCGTCTCCCTCTCAGAGTGAGCCACCTTCTTGTTCAGAGAGCACATGGGGGTCATGTTGGGACTGGTCCTCGAGCCGGAGCCCAGGCCACGTGGGGCCGGCGCTGGAGGGCGTCCTTCCTCCTTCCTTGTTCTACGCTCACACGCCAGCATCTCCCTCGGTGGCCTGGCCGGGGCATGTCCTCTGAGGGCCCTGGTGCTGGCAGGCAAGATGCTCCGGGGCTGGGGGGCAGCAGGTGATTTCCTCTTCTTGCCGAAGGAAGTCTGGGTGTAGCACACAGTGCCAGCCGGCATCCCCGGCCAGTCAGTAGATGCTCTTCCCACAAACCGTAAATCCCACAGGTCAGTTTACAGCAAGTTTCCTTTCCTTTCTGCGAGAAGGTAGCATCAGTACTTAGAACGCTGTGACAGTGCGGCCTCAGGTGCGGGGCTGTGTCCTCAGACAGTGATGCCTGGTGACAGGGCTCCTTGTGCAGCTGATGGGGCACCTGGGCTCAGGTGGGCTGCACCAGGCACGGTCCCCACCTGTGGGCTTCACCAGGCATGGTCCCCACCCGAGGGCTGCTCCAAGCACGGTCCTCACCTACTGTAACGGCATTTCACTCATGAAATGATACCTAATGTTCTGTGGAATAGATTTTTCATGCTTTATTAAAACTACCTTTTAACATTATTTCTTCCTGGTCTCTGCTTTTCTTTCTTTTTTTTAAATATTTTAAGCTGCGTGGGTTAAAATATGACCCCAATGTTCCATCTAAATTAGTTCAATATTGCCTTATTTCTTTTACTTAACACTTAAAGTAGAACTTGCCATGTGCCAGGCATTACATTAAGCACTTTAGAATATTAATTTACTTAATCTGAAGAACAACCATATTTTCAAAATAATCCTATCTGTAAAAAACAACCTATTAAATTGAATGACTGGGGAAGGTGATAACTATTAGGAGTAAAGTCTCCGTTATCAGGTTTGATCATCCTTGTTAGCTAACAAGCAATTGTGATTGATTCTAACAGCATAAAGATTTTTAAAGATGGTGACTGTCTCATCAGAGGAAGCCCTAACTTTACTTCCCCACAGGGTGACTCGCCAAGGCTTTTTGTGTGTTCCTAGGGCTGCCCTAACAGTTACCACCGACCGGGAGGCTGACACCAACAGAAATGCCGTCTCCCACAGTTCTGGAGTCCAGACGTCTTGAGATCACGTGTCGGCCTTGGCCCCGAAGGCTCAGAGGAGGTTCCTTCCCTGTCTCTTGTGGCCTCTGGCAACCTCTGCCTGTAGACACATCACTCCAGTCTGTCCCTGTCTTCCCCTGGCTTCTCCCTATGTGTGTCCTTCTCTGTATCTAAATCCCCTTCCTCTTTCTCTTAGAAGGACGCCGTCCTGTGGGACTGGGGCCCACCCTAATGGCCTCATTTTCACTTGGTCACATCTGCAGTGACCCTGTTCCCAAACAGTCACACTCACGGCCCCAGGATTAGAGTGTGGACGTGCCTTTGGGGGCACAGCTCCCCCACAAGCCCTGCAAGCAGGCGGGGCTTGTTTGGATGCCTGACCTTCTCCCCATTAGAGCAGGCTTTACTGGGCGCCAGTTTCCGCGCTCGGTTGGCCCCTCACCCCTCTGGGAAGATGGCGGAGCTCTCTGAAGCCTCTCAGCCCGGGAGGAACCCATGCAAGAGGGCGGCTTTACTTGGTCGGGCCGAGGGGGACTCTTACGTCAGTCTCAGGTTATTCTTTGTAACGTCTGCCTTTGTCACAATGCACACAGGTGAAATGGGGTAACAACACCTATAGATTCTCAGGTGTGCACGTTCAAGATGGGGATGGCTTAGTCACAGCCAGCCGGGCCTTCAGGTGAGAGATGACAGGGCCCTGAACTTCTGGGGCAGAAGGCAGCAGACAGCCTAAATCTGAGGACAAGGATGGGGGGGATGACTGAGAAGGGGGTTCATTCCATGGCAGAGGAGGTTGGTTACCAGGATACATCTCAGCGATCATTCTGGATCAATTCTCCTGGCACCTGGTGGGTCCTTTCAAATATATAGATTCTTTTATCTCTGGAATGTTTTCAAAGGTTAAATGTTTCTCAGTGTTTAAATGTTGGCTCTGCAATGTTGCTTTAATTTGCTTCTTCAAGGACACCAGTTACACACACTGTAAAGAGTCTTTATCTAAAGGTTACCACTAGAGTGATGAGAAACCTTCCTAAGTACCGAAGTAAATGAACAAGGCAGAAAGGACACACCGTGCAGGGAAACAGTGACTGTAACACCACGCACACGCAACTGCAACGTGAGGTAAGTGCCAAACAGCCGTGCGATACGCGTGAGTGTGTCACCCAGCAGGACCGCCCCCCACACCCTCTGCTGCAGCTCCTCTCTGAAGCGCCCAGATCACAGTATCTCCTGTAGATTTCCTGAGTTTTTCAGATGCTCAAACCACCACCAAAGGGAAGGAATGAACTACTTGATGATGGAGAGCGCGGGGCCCCTAGACCCTCTGGTGCCCGGGGTGGGGAGTGTTGATGCTCTGTGACCTTGGACATCAGCCAATCGGGGAATTGTGCACGAGCTGATCACACATCCCGTGACCCCTGCCTCCCTCACCTGCCTTTAAATAAGCTTTGCTGAAGCCCTTTTGGAGTTGGGGGTTTTCCTGGGCATGAGCCCCGTCCTTGCTCGGCCCTGCAGCAAATCTTCCTCTGCTCCAGACTTCAGTGTTTTAGTTTATTTGGCCTCACAATGCATCAGGCACATAAACTTGCCTTCTGTGGCAAACAGAATTCACCTGTGGTTTTAAAAAGAAGAAATTTTTAAATTCAGAGGCAAAACCTAACTCCACGGTGTATAAAAGAGACATCTGAAACGTGGTAATTCAAGAAGACAAGAGGTAAAAAGGGTCGAGAAGTACCAGGCAGACGGAAGGCCAGCAGGTGTTTTAACCCTGAATTTAAGTCTCCCCACAGCATTTGGGAGAACAGGAGGGACCTGAATATGTGTGAAAACAACAAAGATACTCCGTGGTGAATGAGGTGTCCTTTTTCTCCAGAGGGGTCAAAGGGACATGTCAGGTATTTCACCCACATTTTGACCTTTTTCTTTTCCCTAACGGAGGGAGGAGCCCAGCCCTGCTCTCCGGTGTGGAGGGTGGGCCCCGGGCGGCCTGGGTGCCAGTGTCGGACCTCTGACCACACCATTGTCGCTGGAAACACGGGCAGCGACCGTCAAGAGGTCTCAGGTGAGTCCAAGCCTGAGCTGGGCTGGCTGTATCACACGCAAAACTGGTATCTTATCTTCCCATTGAAACTTTTCCCACTTCTCTCTCGGTCACTGACACCCCCATCCACTCTCTTATTCCAGGGAGAAACCTCAAAGTTGGGAGTTTTTCTTTTTTCTATTTCCCCTCAGGCGTGAAAAGTATTTAACCGTGTTCATTTTCTCCTTCCATTATTGGCTCAGAGACTCATCATTCCTTCTGTGGACTGTGCGTTAACTCCAGGCTAATCTTTTCTCATAACCACCATGTCGGTACCCTGTTTATGTCACTCTCCTAAATCACAGCTGTAGCTTCAGGTCTCCGCCCCCCTCCACCTGACTGTGCCCTCCACCTGGCCACGCCCCTCCATCCGGCCACTCCCCTCCACCTGGCCACGCCCCTCCCTCCGGCCACTCCCCTCCACCTGGCCACTCCCGGGCCTCGTGAAGGCTCCTGCCAACCCTTCCTTGTCTGCATTTTCCAGGCTGTTGGATGCCTGGAATGCTCTTTTCCTCTAGTTCAGCAAATTCCCAGTTACACTGTAACACCCAGCTCCACTGTTAACCCTTCAGAATTTTCTCCAGACCTCTTGGCCCCACCTCTGTGGTCTGGGGAGTCTGAGGTCTTGCCTTGTGTGGCGGGTAGGTAAGGGCTGTGAATCTCCTGCCATTGGACCATGGGCTTCTTTCTTTCTTTTAATTTTTATTTATTTTATTAAAAGTTTTTAAAAATTGAGGTGTAGTCAGTTTACAATGTTGTATCAGTTTTTAGTGTACAGCATAATAGTACAGTCATCCATATATACATATATACTTATTTTCATACTTTTTCATTACAGGTTATTCCAAGATATTGAATATAGTTCCCTGTGCTGTCCAGTAAGACCTTGTTTGTCTATTTTATATATAGTAGTTAGTATCTGCAAATCTCGAACTCCCGTTTATCCCTTCCCACTCCCTTCCCCTCTGGTAACCATAAGTTTGTTTTCTACGTCAGTGAGTCTGTTTCTATTTTGTAAATAAGTTCATCTCTCCTTTTTTTAAGATTCTACATATAAGTGACACCATAGGGTACGTTTCTTTCTCTTTCTGGCTTCCTTCACTTAGACTGACCATCTCTAGGTCCATCTATGTTGTTGCCACAGGCTTCTTTGTTCATTCAGCAAACATTTCAACACTTCTCTGAGCCAGGCATTCCCTGTCCAGCAGTGGACAGACATAAATCCTTCCTTCAAAGTGGGGAGAGTGACAGTGAAAAAATGAGGAAACTAGGGAGTTTACTTAATGGTGTTGAGTTTGAGGCAGAAAGACATGGAGGGGAGGTGGGAGAGTTTATGATTTAAAGATGGGTCATCAGGGAAGGCTTCACTGAATATAATTTTGAACAAGAATCTGAAGGAATTGAGGCTGCAGACCATGGAGGAAGAATCTTCCAGGTGATGGAAACAGCAGGTGCAAAGGCCCAGTGGCAGCAGCATGCCTGGCACGGTTGAGAAAAGCAGGGAGGCCCGTGTGACTGGCCCACGGAGTACAGTGGGCAAGCAGCAGTCATGTAGGGCCTTGAAGGTCATCTCAACCTTTAAAGGCAGGGACTTATTTCTGTGCTCCTGGAGCACACCCAAGTGTCTGGAGACTAGAGCATTAACTAGCTCTGAACCAACGTTGTCTAGTCATGTGAATAAATGAACTACTGAAGGAAAATACGGATGTGGCCCAGAGATCTGAGAAGCCGGTTCGTAGAAAATCCCCTGCCACATGCTGGGAAAGCTGTGTTGGCTCACATAGAGCCCAGAGGAGACAGGAGCACAAACTAATTGTCTCTTTTATCTTTCTGTGGTGTTTTTGTTAACTTTCAATTGGGAGTAAAAAGAATTTAATCCAGGTCTTAAGGCAATTGAAATTATACTGTCAATATTTTCCCAAAATTCAACTCTATCAGTTACCACTGCAGAGGGCTGAAAAACCATTAGGTGAAGAGAAGAAAGCTACTTTTCCTCATAAGATCTGGCTGATGAAATTAGCAGGACATGATCCCAGATTTTAAATCAATATGTGTGCTTCTATAGGAAGATAAATCTATTGCATTGTTTATGGGATGAGCTCCGGTTCCCGTAGAAGGAGGGACAGTAACTAGCATTTCCTATCTGAAGCAAAACCTTTGACAGACAGTGAGAAATGCTGAAATTTTAAATAATTTTTGTGATGGGAATTCTTTTTTTCTGAGTGACTGCAATGAGTCTTGCACTTATTGTAGACAGAAAGGACAGAATTAGCATTCCAGGGTCAGAAGACATGAGATTAATAGAAAGTCAGAGATGCGTAAGATTCAGAGCTGTAAAGCTCTGCGTTGCCTCTGCACGGACCTCCCACAGGCGTCTTGCACCTGTGCAGCTGGCACACTTTCATGATCCCTTTTTC